ACTCTGTCACTGATCATGTAATCTTGGGCTAACCATGTAACTATTTCACCTATTTTTGTTTTCTGTTGTTGTTGTTGTTGTTGTTGTTGTTGTCATTTGTATCTTAACATGAGGGACATAGGTACATCTGCTTTATAAGTCTATTGTTTCTTTTTTTATTTTTTATTTTTTTATCTTTTGTACCAGGGATTGAACTCAGGACCTTGCACTTGCCAGGCAGGCATTTATGCCACTGAGCTCTCTCCTCAGCCTGGCCTATAAGTTTATCTTTAAAATAAAAAGATAATCCTATATTAAGGGTCTTACTATGTAGCATGGACTAGTAGTGATCCTCCTGTTTTCAGCCTCCCTAGCACTGGGATTACAGCCATGTGCCACCATGCCCAGACTCGCTCGCCAGCTCAGCGCACCCTAAGGACGGGGCAAGTACAGCATGTGGGAAAGGGGATCAAACCCTGGTCCCTGCGCTTGCCAAAGTAGGTGCTCAGTCCAGTGAGCTATCTCACTGGCCCTTCCTTGCTTTCAATCTTGTATCTTCCCAGTGTCCTCAGGAGTCTGGCCCAGTGACCCCTCAGACTCCATCCTTAGAGCCTTTCTTTTTCCGCTCTCTCTACTTCAGCAATACTCCACTTATTTTTAATTCCTTGAACCTGCACGCTCTGGCTTGTCTCTGAGCCCTCTCTCACTTTACTCTCCAAGGTGAATTAAAGGAGCTTTCTGAATACCTCCACAAGAGTAATTCACAATGGATTTGGTCTTTGCATGAACATTAAAGTTAAAAAGGCTTTTGTTTGAAGTTTCTGACTTAAGGTTTGTAGATAAACTCATGAACGCTGAATTTTGTGGACAGGGAATCATATAATTTTTGGGTTTTCTTCTTCTTTCTAGCTCTCTACTTTACAATGCCCTATTCCTATGCACAGTGAGCAGATGAGAGAAGACCCCACCCCTGGAAAATTTCCTCAAGCTTCCGTCTTCTCACCCTATTTTCTAACTCTCCTGCCCTCATTCCTAGTTCTACTGGGAAAACCCTTCCATTCTATCAGCTCTCATTTTGGTAACTATATTTAATCTTCATTGACCACACAGGCTAAGTTGTCCCAGCACCTATGTGATTTGTGTCTCACCTATGTGCTCATAGATCTTAAATTTAAATTTCACAGGAACAGCGTAGGCATTTTATACAAGTGGAGAGTGTGACTCAGCTTTCAGGTGAAGTGAGTGCTATTATTTTAACAGCAAAGATTTCTTTTACATCTTTTGCATAATTTTAACCCAGCATTGTAATGTTCCATATACTTATTTGTAACCTACACTTGACTCTAATTGTGGAATAATGTCTACTATGTTCATTCTTTGGCCTTTGCCATTTTGTTCAACATCAGATATATAGTGTGTATAAAATATTTTTATAATAATAAATCAATAGAAAGAATGAAAAACTTTGGGGCCGGGGAGATGGCTCAGTAGAATAAGCGCTTGCCTGGCAAGTGCAAGGGCATGAGTTCAATCCCCGGTTCCACCAAAAATAAAGAAATTAAATTAAAAAAAAAAAGAATGAAAAACTTTGATAAAAGCACATATAAGACAGGTGGGGGTGCGGAGATAGCTCAGCAGTCTAAGCGCCTGCCAAGGCAAGTGCAAGACCCCGGGTTTGATCCCCAGTACCAAATGCTAAAACTGGTGTGGTAGACAGAGCTGTAATACCAGTGCTGGGAAGGCTGAAACAGGAGGATCACTATGAATCTGAACACTTGAAATTATTTTTTTCATGTATTTGGTACAGGGTCTCATTATGCAGCTCAGACTCATAGTGATCCTCCTGTTTTCAACCTCCCCAACCCTGGGATTATAGGTGTGCACCACGACACGTGAACTCCGTGGCTGGCTCAGTGTACCTGGGGTCAGGGCCAGTGCAGCATGTGGTGCTTGGAATTAAATACTGGTCCCTGTGCTTACCTAAGCAGGCACTTGGTCCACTGAACTATCTTGCTGGCCCTCACACACTTAAATTTAGAAAAAAAGAAAAATGATAGGTGAGAACAGAGAGAATAATAAATAGAAATAACACAAATAGCCACCAGAAATTCATAAAATGTGGTAAAGATGAACTGGACTTCTATGGGTACACAACTAAATAACCAGTGTTGGCCAGGGTAGGATAACTGCTAAAAAAAATTCAGCATGGCTGGAGTCAGGAAAATAAGTGAGTCAAGTTTTAAAGAGGGGAATGATGCTCCCCTAAGACCAGAGCCTTGATATGTTTTTGTAGACTGTGATCTGTAAACAGAGCATTTCTTTGACGCAGCAAGCAGGTTTTTGTTGCTGTCATCATTGTTTGCTTTATTTTAAGTTTGTGTCCGTATTGGGGTGCATCATCCCTTAGTTACCTGACTTTCCTCTGCCTTCTTTCTCCTCTGTCAGACTCTGCTTCTCTCATCACCTGCACTGTTTGTTGCCTTGTAAGGCTCTCAGCCCCGGGACCTATCTTCCAATTTCCTGATTCAACATGATCATTCATTTGAATTTTAAAGGTTGAATTTGGCCTCCCTGGGCTGAATATAAACACTTTGTATATTCAGTGCCATGATAACTTTCACCTATATTTTACTGTTGCAATAAATCTTCCTGAGCATAAACTATGATCTGCATCTTTGATATCTTTGTTCCAATAAATTTCTAGAAATGGAATATTATGGACATTTTAAGATAATAATATACTGGAAAAATCTACCACCATAAAGTTTATGCAAACATTATAAAGCAATGCTTAGTCCACTGTAACACAGCAATACAACTCTGTGTATTATAAGTTTTTTAAAAATATTTGCTGATGTGATAGGAAAGAATATTTTACTGTTTACTGCAGTAAAATGCTGACAGTCAATAAATAAGCTTTATTGCAAGTCCCTACAGCACAGTTTCCCTGTGTCAAATTCTGCCCTTCCTGTTTGGGTTGTCAAGTTTCAGGAACATTAATATAAGTCCCATTGAGTTACAGGCTCCAACACATTTCCTAAATTCAATGACACACTCATGAGGTATATTTTCATCTAATTTAATTGTCAAACATTACATGCACACTGGGCCTGGGAGCTGGTGGGAATGAGGATCCAGAGGGCCCAAGGCTGCCCCAGTCACATGCCTGGCCTGGGCTCTGGCTGAAATGAGGATCTGGCCAGCCCTGGGCAGTCCTACTCACACGCCGGGCCTAGGCACTGGCTGCAGTGGGGATCTGGAGAGCCCTGGGCTGCCCCACTCACACGCTCAGCCTGGGCACTGGCTGGAATCCAAATCTTTCTTTTCAATGAACTAAGAAAACTAAGCTGTAAAAAAAATTGTCAAACATAGTGTTCATAATTTCACTAAGTTTAATAAACTTACCAATGACATAAATACTAAAATGAAATGAGCACAGGACAATGAGAAAGGTTACACCTTGAAGTATGTGTCAGGGTGTACATGAGTGGTTTTTTTTTTTCTGAGACAGGATCTCACTGTACTGTGCAGACTGTCCTTGAACTCATAGGGATCCCATTATCTCACCCTTCCAAGTATTGGGATTATAGACATGAACCATCACACTAACTAAAAAGTAGAATTTTTGGACGTGACGAGGAATAAATAAATTGTGGTTTTATTTTGAGGACAGTGACAAGATTTTTCAATGGATTTTCAAAAGGTGAAAGAGAAAGAAATCAAGTTTAACTCAAAAATTCATATGCCAAAAATAGTTTATAGATGGTGGAAATATCTGAGGATCTAAAGAAATAAGGAAAAAAGATGAATAACATTTAACAATCTATGGGTTCTAAAGGCTAACAAGAGCAATGGTCCCTTCACATGAGATGTCACCAGACAAATCTATCATATACCTACCCCAGTTCCCTTGCACAAGATTCTCAAAATTTGAGCACAAGTGGGAGGAATCCCATGTTATTCTGATTAATTTTCTCCCACCTATTAGATTCGAGTTTCAAAATAGACAGCAGCTCAAATGATGGAAAAGTACAGAAAGCAGTGTTTTCTGTACACTTAAGCTTTGGACTGAGGTGTTTACCCACTTTATTCACCGAAAACTTTGTTTGCACCTCCAAAATAATCTTATTCAATGTGAAGAAAGATTTGCACTAATAATGTTTGGACAGGATATCCTATTTGCTTCTTGTACTATGGATAATCACTAAGAAGAAAACAATGTATAATGTATTAATTATTACAACTGTCCTATTAATCAGTTTTTAAACTGTTACATTGCTATTTGTTTCTCAACAAAATTAAAAATAAATAAATAAAATAAAGTAAAATAATCTTATCATTAGTTGATATGCAATCTTTGGCTAGTCTATCTATCCTCTATAAGACAATAAGAACTATTGCGTACTTTCTAGCACTTACCAGAATGTTTAGGGGAATATTATTAAATACTTACTGGATATATATATATATATATATATATATATATATATATGAATTCATTTATATATATAAATGAATTTTTTCCTAGTTGTAAAAGGTTGCTACTACTGTGAAGAATCCCAGGTAGGCTAATGAAGTAGTATTGTAGTGAATAATGACAGATGTTGGGAATTGTGGAGTGGAGCTTGACCCATACTCAGAATAAGAGATGTACTTAAGCAATTTAGTATAATATTCTGTTTTTTAAATTCCTTTCACAGGTACCACTACAGGTTATAAGGAGGCAATAAAAATTTTCCAAAATTAGATTGTGAATATGGCTGTTGCACAACTCTGAGACTTTACTAAATACTATTGAATTATACATAACACGTGGCTGGATTTTATATTTGAATTATATCTCAATGAAGCTGTTAAGAAAACACTCTTCAATAAAATGGCACAAAGACAAAAAAAGTTACGTCAGCTCATAAAACGTGTAGCCACAATAAATAATTGCATAATAGAACAGATATAAACAACCAAAAAAAAGCTCTATCAGTCCAAAGAAGTCCTCTGGGAACCTCTGCACTCTGGAGACGCAGTGAAATAGTATCCACACCAGGAACTGGCCTCTCGCTCTGTGCATGGGCCTTGATTCCAACCAGCCTGGAGTAAATCTCATTATAGGCTCAGCCCTCTCCTGGAATCTGAAGCCTCCTGGACCTTCTCAGTGTGCCTGAGACAGACAGCAGAATTACTGTATGGGCTCTGTAAGTAAAACTGCTAGCTCACTGAATTGTCTGGCTCTTGATGCATGTGTGTTCTTACCCACAGAGAAGGATTTCTTTCATAATGTGCAGAATTAGATTAAACAGTCGGGTGGTAGACTGAGGAGAATGGCAGAATCATAGAATTAATAATTCCCATTTATTCTTCAGAGAATGGGCACTTTGCTCTGCTTGGCAGTGGTTCTATAACTTGTGTTTGGTCAAATTATTTTAATGTGCTAATACATTTATCACAATCATGGATTCTTATTTCTGAGCCAAATAACTCCTATTGAAACAAAAATTAGCAATTTTGAATGTTTTCTGCATGCCAGGAACTGTATTGGGCACTGTATTTATCCTATTCTATATGTGTAAAAGCTGGGTCAAAGGAAGTTTATATTACTTATAGGTTTCAGTGAAATAAACGTTTTTGAGAACATGAAGATCAAAATTAAAAGTAACCAAGTTACGAAGCCTAATTAAGACTTCACCAGTTGTTTGCAATTCTGAGTGTGATTCATAATCTCTCTAATACTCAGCTACTTTACCAGGAAATCAAGTTTCAAGTGAATTGAGTAATACTCGGTCCATGATGGTGTAGTAAGAATTGAAAGTGTTTATAAAGCTCTTAGTGCAATGTTTGTTGACCAAGTTTCCAATAAATGTCCCATTGCTATGAGAAATTTGTTATTGCTGTACAAAACTGGTTAGTGTTTGAAGAAAGATCTGAACCTGGATCAGTCACACACTGAGAATAAAGATGAATGTGGTTTAGAGGAGCCAGACTAATTGGAGAGTGATGGCGCATAAGGATAGCTTGGGGGAAATGTAGTGTCTCACTTAATAAATAGCCATTAATCACCCTTCGTCCTCTGAGAAGAATAGTCACATATTTTCAGTGTAAGAAATATGCAATCAAACCCATTAAGTCCTCACTAGCAACTGTCTGCTATTAGATTTCATATGTAGACATTGTAAGCCCCCAGTTTTTGATATTTCAGAAGTAAAATCAATAAATATTTAAGAAATACGTGTAAGAAGAGAGGAAGGCATGGGGTGGATGTTAATTCTAATTAAATGACTAGGAGAATGTGATTCGATTTGCTGAGAAATGAACTTTGTAGGAAAAGATCCAGGTTTACAGTGGGGGTGCAGATGAGCTCTGCCTGGCTTGCACTGGAGTCAAAGCGTCCGAGCAATTATGGATGGCTGTGTCCCTCAGAGTTAGATAAAGCGTTCTAGTCACCTTTTATTTACCACTTACTGCAAATAAGAGAGCTCTTACTTGTTCTCTACATTGTTGCCAGAATTACTCTAAATTTCAGATTTGATCACCTTCAAATTTCAGGCCAAAAATGTTGCCATGGTTTCAAATTTTCTGCTAATTTTTGAAAAGTAGAATTTAGGAGATGCCATAATTAGATTGCAGACTTCTGAGTCATCTGGGTGCAAGTGCTATTTAAAGCCATGGGAATAACTAAGTTATCTCAAGGAGAGTATGTGGAGAGAAAGAAATGGGACTTCCTCGAAGGAAAACAAACCCTTCTACAAAGCACCTTGGATGAGACAGAGAACAAGCACACTGTTCAGGAAAAATAGAAGAAACTCGCAAAATAACTACCATTAAGGCGATTGAAAGAGTGTTTAGGAGGAAAAATCTAAACTGCCACAATTTCAGATGAAGGAGAGAAAAATAAATCTGAAATTAAACTTCTGTATGTGTCATTTGGAAAGTCCTCGATGACATCAATTGGGGGGTTTTCTGGTATTATTAGCAAAAAAAAAAAAATCCTGATTGCTACTGAAGGTAAAGAGCCAATAAGCAGAAGCAGATTGTTCTTCAAGTAACATGTTTTCTTATAAAAGATATTTCAGGAAATGGAGGGAGTTACGAGGTTTGTGTTTCACTGACCTCGCTATCCAAACACAGAGGCTCAAAAGGAAAGCTCCTCCGAAGTGCATTGAAAGTGTCAGCAAGAAGTGTGGAAAGCATTCATCATTAAGTTGGGGCAAAATTTGAGTGTTGCAGGCTACAGAAACGGCACCAATGGTACCAAACAAGATACTAAAGAAGGAAAGGAATTCTGCTGGAGTTAAATTAGAAGAGACAGAGAATGATTTGTTTACTTATTCGTAAAATATTTAGAAATGCCTGGCTCTTGAGAATCTACTGTTAAAATTTCAGTTCCTCATCCTCTCTGTGGAATTCAAGAGTTTTATGACCTGGCCCCTCTAATTTCTCTAGCTCCACTTTCGGTAGGCCTCAGATGCACATCGAAAAGTCCACTGTGGTCCTTTGCTTATAGCTATATGATCACTTTTCTGCCTTCATATGTCTGTTCCTGATCTGTGTTTTTAGGCTTAAAGTGTTCAGCATTATAAGCTCTCCTTTTCACACATTTACAACCTCTATTTCTTAGGTACCGAATCACTGCTACTTGCTACTTTACTTGCTCCAGTGAGTTCCAAATGTATGTGTGCCCCAGAACTGAGCTAAGCATTTATGATAGAGGATCGGGTATAACTGATTGTAAAAAAGAATGTGCAGTCTTTTGTCTCTGGGCCCAGAATGGAAGAGTGGAGAATGCCAGAAGGGATAGTGGTTGAACAATGAAAAAGAGAAATTCTTTTAGTTCTCTTCCGCTAGGCTGAACACATGTCAAGTCAGCCTGTGCTCTGTAGTTTGATTTGATTTGGCTTGATTTGGTTATGATCTTTCAATAAAATAGGGAAGAAAAAAACTCTGCCAAGGAGGATATAGATAGCCAATGAATAAACCAAATTATTTAAATAATCAGGTAAAAAGAGAGTTTATTCAGATAGAACTTTAAATGGTGAAAGAAAACATAGAATTTCCTAGAATTCAGTGACAAAGCCTGCATCTCAATCCTTGCGTATTATATTAAAGTCATGACACCTAGAAATAACTGACACATATAGAGGCCCCCTGTGTTTTCAAATATTTTTATTATTCATCACTGTATACTATATTTTGAAGTTATTACAAAATAGAACTAATCCTTCTCCTCCCCTTACCTCTTTCAGAGGGATTTTATTTGTATCACCCTTTAGCTTGTAACACAGAACTATGCAAAAAGTAGGTTCTTGATAGAGGTTCCTCAGGGCAAAAGGCAAGATTGAAAGAAAAAATGTGACAGAGTTTTCCTGTTGAATGCTTTTATGTTGGTATTCTACAGCTCCAAGTTTTTTTATCTCACCTTAGACAAGAAACAGCAATGTTTCAAGCACAACTTTTTTTCTAGAAAGACTTCTCCAAAGTCTACACGACTCCAGAATGTCTGCTTTCTGTTAATTCCTTTTTTTTTTAATCTTTTTTGGCTTTAAAGTTATTTTAATTTGTCAAATGCTAATTACACATACTTACTTGGTTTTTCTATCTGTTCATACATTCTAGAATGATCAAATCAGGGTAATTAGTCTATCTAGCACCTTAGATATTTATCGCTTCTTTTTAATGAGAACAGTTAAATTCCACACTTGTGACTACTTTGAAATAAAAATTATTGTGTGTTATTATAAACATCACTAAGGGCCAGCCAAACAGCTCAGCAGATTAAAGCACCTGCAAGCAGGCGAGCCCCAGGCCTGCGGTGCTGCTCCGCCCCCGGGGCACGCTGAGAGGGCAAATGAGACTGGGCGTGGTGCATGCCTGTAATCCCAGCACTTGGGAGGCTGCAAGCACGAAAATCACTATGAGTCCGATCCAGTAGTGAGACCCTTCCCTAATAAAATGCCATCACTTTTCTATTATAAATTTTGATCGTACACCTCTGATGTTAATTTTGAATCCCTAAGGAGCCTCATAAAGTTATAATTTAGTTGTTCAGGAAACTCACTTCCTTTGCTCACCTTTTTCTATAATTTCAGTTAATTTTTCCTAATATTTAAAATTTTTGACACTCATTTTATTTTAAAGACAAAAACAAAAAACAAAAGTGAAAATCAATAGCAAACACTAAGACAGAAACAGAGTTACACGACAATACATAGGGTACAGAATTTCAAAACAAGAATGTATGCAATCCACGAAGTTCACTTCCAGGTAGCACATCTTGATTGTTTTTATTCCCCTCCACATCCCTCCTCTCCTTGGACTCTCCCACATTTTCATTATGACTGTTATTGGTTTTGTTCATGCTTATGACATAGAATGTTTACATTTATTGCCAGTATTTGGTACATGAGCATGACATATCTGAAACCTTCCTGAGGTTTCTTTAGGTGATCTTCAAGGTGGAGCTCTATCTGGGTGAATGTGTATGATCTAAAAACATTGAAATTCCACGCCACTCCCTGTCCTCACGTGGGCTCCCTCTCCCTCATTGTGCCTTCTCCAGCCACACCCTTCATCTGTTCTCTCCACCCCCCCACCCCACCCCCACTTTCCAATTTCTGCCGGCTCATCAGCCTAACCTGCAGTACTCGACTCAATGAAAAAAGGTGATATTTTCAATAAAGGTATAACTGTTCCTCAAAAATAAAACAATAACAAACTATCAGATATCACTTAAGAAATATGCTTTAACAAAATAGAAAAAGTCTGTTCTGGGAAATTAGTCTTTAGGCACATTGAAGATAGAAACACACGCAAGCATGGCAGCACAGGTGAAGAGCGGTGTCCTCTGTCCCTAAACCTGGTGGTGGGTCTGTATTCGAACTCTCCATCTCTCCAACATACCAAGGCAGGTGCCACAGCACAAGGCCCTTTAATCTGTAGGTATAGCTGGGCGTGATGATGCATGCCTACAATCCAGCACTCAGGAGACTGAGGCAGAAGTACCTCTATGAGTTCAAGGCCAGCCTGGGCTATACAAGCAAGTTCAGGACAGCCTGTACTACCTAGTGACAACCTGTCTCAAAAGAAAACCTAACTGTGTAGGTACTACAGGCACCTGCTCTTGACTTCCTTGATGCCTAAGTTATTTATCTGTCACTTCATGAGTGCTACTTTTTATGATTATTATCTCAATAACTTCTAG